GGGGCCTAACCGCAGAATCACATACGACACGCCCGTGTTTTACAGTCTTTTTGGAGGAAGTGAAATGTAACAATAAATAGTAACCATGTACAGTCTACAATCCATAAACCAACAACCTTATCAGAATATTGTGTTGATTATGGCTAACACTTTACGTTTATGTGCACAGCACTTTACTAATCCCTTGGCATCATTTTGATATGATTGGCTGAGGCAAAAAAAATAAAAAAATAATAGTTTAGTTTTTACGAGCGTTGATATTCCACATTGCGAGCGCCGGAAAACATTTTTTTCAAAGAACATAACACTGGGGGAAAAAATCAAACGTTTTTTTTTGTCTGAGGGGTTGTCAGGGAGGGTATTGGCTCCGACACAGACATGCTTCTAAGATAAAGAAGTAAAACGTTTTGCCACCTAATGTATACGTGTACTTACATGGCACGCAGCCAGGAGCCTCGGAATCGAACTGGAACCCTTGGTCACACTGGCAGGTCATCGGTTCCCCGACACAGATAAGGTTGTATTTGCATCGACTGTTGCATTCTTCTTCGTAAGTGGGTATTTCTGCAGGAAAGAGAGCGGGGCGATGTTGGCGAGGAACTGACTGACATTGATGACATTGTAACAAAATGCGTAGTCGTTTTAGTTGCAAATTAGGTTGATTATGGTTTACAACAAACGATACGTGGACTAAAGAACAATTTTATGAATTAATTGATTAAAACAGCCAACAAACACCAAAAAATAAAATAAAATGTTTTACCTATTACTACGTTAATTGTTAAAAATAGTGGTTAAGAATATGATGATAATGGTTTTAACATGAATTTGTAAACAAACTATTCTGGTCTTTTCAGTGTCATCTTGAGTCTTGGTCTTCTTGTCTTCCTTGCCATTGTCTCTTCTCCTCGTCCCCCTTTCTCTCCGTCGTCGCCCCCCCCCCCCCCCCCTCTTCTCCTCTTCCTCCCAAAGCCGTTCCATCTCTTTATTGTTCTCTTTGTACACTTGTTCTGACTTGTTTTTGTACATTCCCTCCCTTTCTCCCCCAAAAAACCAACCCCACCTCCCGTTTTTTTTCTCCTCTCGACATTTCTTCTGTCGTTCTTCATTCCGTCTTCCTTTTCCCCATTTTTGTCATGATCTCACAACGTGCCCTGGCTTCTTTCTTCTCCCCC